TTGCTCTGTCGCCCAGGCTGGAGTGCAGTGGTGCCATCTCGGCTCACTGCAAGCTCCGCCTCCCGGGTTCATGCCATTCTCCTGTCTCAGCCTGCCGAGTAGCTGGGAGTACAGGCGCCTGCCACCATGCCCGGCTAATTTTTTGTAGTTTTAGTAGAGACGGGGTTTCACCGTGTTAGCCAGGATGGTCTCGATCTCCTGACCTCGTGATCCGCCCACCTTGGCCTCCCAAAGTGCTGAGATTACAGGCGTGAGCCACCGTGCCCGGCCTCCTGGACTATTTTAAGGCATCGTATACTGTGAAAATCCTCTGGGAAACACTGGGCAAATGTCACAGGCCAAGGCCAAGGCAGGAAAGGACTTGTGATTTCCCTACTGTCATCAGAATGAGGGCCTCAGAGGGTGCTTGTGATGTACCAGCAGGACCCCATCTCGGTCACAGCATTAGACTGCCACAGGGAAGGGTTAAGCTACTAATATGCAGTTTGAAATCCAGAGCAAGAGTTTTGTTTTCTAAAGTGTTCCTAGTTAATGATGCATTAACTATCTGTTCAGAAAAAGTGTTTCAAAGGAGCAAAGTTGTGCTTCTGTGTGTCAGAGAGGAAAAGTCTGGAGACCGTATATTTGTGTCTGACAGCTTGTTTTTGTTTTGTTATGGAAATTTTCAACAAAACACATGTGGAGCGGCTAGAACAATGCAGTCCACGTATCTGTGACCTACCTACCATGAGTATCAGCATTTCACCAGTTGCGTTCCATCTATCTTCCCCTCCCCCGCACACACGCTTTTCTTTGGGAATGGGTTGGAATATTTTAAGGCAAATGTGAGACATCACATTCTTTCATTTGTAAATACTTCAGCAAGCATTTCTTTTTCTTTTTCTTTTGAGATGGAGTTTCGCTCTTGCTGCCCAGGCTGGAGTACAATGGCGTGATCTTGGCTCACCACAACCTCCGCCTCCCGGGTTCAAATGATTCTCCTGCCTCAGCCTCCCAAGTAGCTGGGATTACAGGCATGCGCCACCATGCCCAGCTAATTTTTATATTTTTAGTAGACATGGGGTTTCACCAGGTTGGCCAGGCTGGTCTCAAACTCCTGACCTCAGGTGATCCACCTGCCTCGGTCTCGGAAAGTGATGGGATTACAGGTGTGAGCCACCGCGCTCAGCTTCAGCAAGCATTTCTAACAGATAAGGACTTATAAATAATAACTATAATTTCTAAGTAATCCTCAACAAATTAGTAGGAGGAAACTGGCATCATATTGAAATATTTGATGGGCAGGTTACCCTGTGACAAATTAGAAACACTAATTGCCAAATACCAATTCTCAGACGGTTTCAAAAAAATCTAAAATTACCGTCAACAGTGAGGGGGGCGGTCCACAATTGTAAAGAACCAAAACTGTGGACAGCTACATGCCTGCTATGAGCACCCCAGGCCACTAGCCTCAGGCTCTAGCCACTCAGGGCCTCTTGCTGGTCTTGAGAGCCACAGCAGGAGCCCAGCATGTGGCTCAGGGTGATTCAAAGGGTCTTCAAGTTGACAGAGGCTGCAAGTGTAAAGGCCACCTGCACCCCGGAGCTTGGGTACCCTTCCCTCAGAGTCAGTTACTCAGAACAGGCACAGCCTCAAATTCTGAGGGAAGAGCTTGAAACACACACACACAAGCACATATGCATACACATTATATATACAAACTCTTCAAAATTCAATTCTACCAGGAGTGTGGGTAGCTCTCCTCTATAACCTCAACAACTTGAGAGGCTGAGGCAGGAAGACTGCTTCAGGCCAGGAGTTCAAAACCGGCCTGGGCAACATAGCAAGACCCTATCTCTAAAAAAGTTAAAAACAGTACTAGACAGGCATAGCAGCACAGGCCTCTGAGCGACTTGGGAGGCCGAGGCAGGAAAATCACTTGAGTCCGGGAGGTCAAGGCTGCAGTAAGCTATTGTGCTACTGCATTCCAGAGACCCTGTCTCTAAAAAATAATAATTTTTAAAATAAAAAGTCAATTCCTATGATTTTGTGAGCATATGTAGTAAAACATAGATTAGATGGTACATTTTAAAAATATCCTTAACTAGGCTGGGTGTGGTGGCCTGTAATCCCAGCACTTTGGGAGGCCAAGGTGGGCAGATGACCGGAGGTCAGGAGTTCAAGATCAGCCTGGCCAACATGGTGAAACCCCGTCTCTATTAAAAATACAAAAAATAGCCTGGCGTGGTGGTATGCGTCTGTAATCCCAGCTACTTGGGAGGCTGAGGCAGGAGAATCGCCTGAACCTGGGAGGTGGGGAGGTGGTTACGATGAGCCAAGACCAAGCCACTGCACTCCAGCCTGAGTGACAAGAGCGCAACTCCATCTCCAAAACAAAACAAAACACCTTAACTAAAAATATCTTAACTATAGCTATTTTAGACAAAGTCTAGCTGGGCGCAGTGGCTCACGCCTGTAATCCCAGCACTTCGGGAGGCCGAGACGGGTAGATCACCTGAGGTCAGGAGTTCGAGACCAGCCTGGCCAACCTGGTGAAACTCTGTCTCTACTAAAAAGACAAAAATTAGCTGGGTGTGGTGGCGGGCGCCTGTAACCCCAGCTACTGCGGAAGCTGAGGCAGCAGAATCACTTGAACCCAGGAGGCGGAGGCTGCAGTGAGCTGAGATCACGCCACTGCACTCCAGCCTGGGCGACAGAGTGAGATTCCATCTCAAACAAAAAAAAAAAAGAAAGAAAGAAAAAGATAAAGTCGAAAGATGAAATTTGTAATGAGATTTTTTTTTTTTTTTTTTTTTTGCCATAAAACATACTTTTCTTATGGGAGGGTTGGGGAGGGGTCTAGAAATTTACCACTAATATGTTAATAATTATGGAGGGAAGAGTTTCATTACAAAGAAAAAAGATTCCATATAACTGTTATTCTGGTCTGGAAGAACACTTCCAGAGTGGTGTTTTCACAAACAGAAAACCTGTGCTGCTGTGTGAACCAAAAGGCTAGCAAATACTTGTGAAAACCACTATGTGGCTGGGGAAGCAGAGCAAAACAAACGTGTTCATCTGTGCTCCCTCTGAAGATGTCAGGAAAGTAACAGAAAAGGAATTACATATGTAAAAACACAAGGACAAAGAGAATGAGAGGAGAGGACAGTGGAAGCTATCAAGGGCAGTCAAGTGGAAAGCTGTCAAGTGGAAATGTCAAGGGCAGATAGTAATCTTTTTTTTTTTTTTTTGAGACAGTCTCACTCTGTCGCCCAGGTTGGAGTGCAATGGCACGATTTCGGCTCACTGCAACCTCCGCCCCGGGTTCAAGCAATTCTCCTGCCTCGGCCTCCCGAGTAGCTGAGATTACAGGCATGTGCCACCACACCTGGCTAATTTTTTGTATTTCTTTTTTTAAGTAGAGACAGGGTTTCACTATGTTGCCCAGGCTGGTCTCAAACTCCTGAGCTCAGACAATCTGCCTGCCTTGGCCTCCCAAAGTGCTGGAATTACAGGCGTGAGCAACCGTGCCCGGCCTAGGCAAACAGCAGTCTACTTTGTTGACCAGAGAAAGCTGTACTGAGTTGCCTGCAGGCAGGGTGGAAGCCCAGAGAGCCCCTGGGTCTCCCATCTTGCCTTGCCCTGCCCTGCTCTGCCCATGTTGGGAGGGGAGCCAAGCTGCTCTACACTCAGGGACCGGTGGCGCAGTTGAGATTGGGGGTGTGACACCAAGGTCAAGCCACAGGGGTCAAGGGACAGTCTGCCTATCAACTGGCTCTTCCCATTGTCCTGCCTGCAGCCAGGCAGGAGGCCAAGGAGTCTTCTGGGGGCAAGCTACCTTCCCACAGCTACCGAGCCTCTCCAGGCCAAAAGGCTTGTCCCCACATTCAGTGGCCATGTACCCTTTCAGTATGGCACTGCTAATGCGAAGGGACAGGTAAGGAGAGCCTGCCACATAAAAGACAGAGCCCCAAACAAACAGAAGAGTCCCGAGGAAACAGCATAGAAAAAGGAGTCTTTCTTTTATTTGAGACAGGGTCTCACTCTGTTGCCCAGGCTGGAATGCCAGTGGCGTGATCATGGCTCACTGCAGCGTTGACCTCCCAGGCTCAGGTGATCCTCCTGCCTCAGCTTCCTGAGTAGCTGGGACTAAAGGTGCGTACCACTACACCCGGCTAATTCTTGATTTCTTTGTAAAAATGGTGGTCTTGCTATGTTGCCCAGGCTGGTCTTGAACTCGGCCTCATGTGATCCTCCTGCCTCAGCCTCCCAAAGTGTTGAGATTACAGGCATTGGCCACCGCATCCAGCTGAAAAAGGAGTCTTTTGAGAGAACCATAACTCACGTTCTCGGGGAACAGTAAGATACTACACCCATATGACAAGGTTAAGAGAAAGGGAACACTGACAGAATAAGAAGGAATGCTGACTCCAAACATGTGACAGCTTCAATACAAGGGACTGAACTAGAGGAGGCACGGAAGAGCTTGAGGTAGAACACTCAAGGGAGGCAGCAGCAGGGAAGGTGGCCCCTGCTGGCCGCACCACCAGGGCAGGCTTCCAGAATGCATCATGCATGCGCTGGAGCCTACGGGACAAGCTGGGATTTGTGGAGCCCAGAGGAGCCGTCGGAAGAAAAGCCTCAGGAAAGAGAGCAGAAACGTTGCCGCTGGAGGGCAGAGCCTGAATGGAAAACGCAATCAGCTTGGAAAAAGGATCCCGATGAGCCTCAGAGACCAGAATGTGATTCAGGGTGATGCAGCATGTTTGTGGTTTCTGTAGGGAAATGTGTTCTACCTTGTAACTGGGATAGAAAGGCACATTTCATCTCCACCCTGTATTTCCTGCCAAGTCAGCCCTTGGTTTTGATTCCAGGGTGCCCTGACCAGGGGAACTGCCAAAGGGCTGCAGGGCCTGCTTTTATGAACCGATAGAGACCCTTCTGGCCCCTTCTATCGTTATGTGCTGATACTGAGCACATAACCGAGGCTGTGAGGAAACACTGGGGAACACCCTGCTTACAGTTTAGGAACGAGGGCAAATCTCATCTTGCTCAGCAGCTCATCCTCCTGGAGCATGACCAGGGCCACGGGGTACATCTGATCAAAGTCAAAATTAAATTGCACGCCGGCCGGAGGGTCACGAAGGAAATTCCTCTTGTCCTTTGATAAAAAAAGAAAAAAACACACGGTATTCCACAAAATGCGATTAATATGTAACAATGTTTTTTTGTTTTTGTTTTTTTGAGACAGAGTCTTGTTCTGTCGCCCAGGCTAGAGTGCAGTGGCACAATCTCGGCTCTCTGCAACCTCCACCTCCTGGGTTCAAGCAATTCTCCTGCCTCAGCCTCCCGAGTAGCTGGGATTACAGGCATGTGCTAGCACGCCTGGCTAATTTTTGTATTTTTAGTAGAGATGGGGTTCCGCCATGTTGACCAGGCTTGTCTCAAACTCCTGACCTCAAGTGATCCACCCACCTCGGCCTCCCAAAGTGCTGGGATTACAGGTGTGAGCCACTGCACCCAGCCTACTACATAACAATTTATCATAGACTGGAGAAGTATTATATTCTTTCTTTATTTTGAAACAGTCTTGCTCTGTTGACCAGCAGGAGTGCAGTGAGACTGTCAAAAAAAAAAAAAAAAAATAGAAGCGGGCAGGGCACAGTTGTCGCTCATGCCTATAATCCAGCACATTGGGAAGTTGGGCAAGAGGATTGCTTGAGGCCACGAGTTTGAGACCAACCTGGGAAACATAGTGAGAACCCATCCCTACAAAATTTTTTTTTTTTTTTTTTGAGACAGAATCTTGCTCTGTTGCCCAGGCTGGAGTGCAGTGGCGTGATCTCAGCTCACTGCAAGCTCCCCTTCTTGGGTTCACACCATTTTCCTGCCTCAGTCTCCCAAGTAGCTGGGACTACAGGCGCCTGCCACCACGCCCGGCTAATTTTTTGTAGTTTTAGTAGAGATGGGGTTTCACCGTGTTAGCCAGGATGGTCTCGATCTCCTGACCTCGTGATCCACCCGCCTCGGCCTCCCAAAGTGCTGGGATTACAGGCGTGAGCCACCACGCCCGGCCGTCACAAAAATTTTTAAAAATTAGCTGGGCATGGTGGCTTATGCCTATCGTCCCAGCTACTTGGAAGGCTGAGGCCGGAGAATCACTTGAGCCCAGTTCAAGGCTGTCGTGAGCCATAATTATGCCACTGTACTCTATCCTGGATGACCAATTGAGAATATGTCTCTTAAAACAAAACAAAACAAAACAAAAAAAATTAAATTAAAAATTTTGGCAGGGCATTGGTGGCTCACACCTGTAATCCCAGCACTTTGGGAGGCCAAGGCAGACGGACTGCTTCAGGTCAGGAGCTCGAGACCAGCCCGGCCAACATGGTGAAACCCTGTCTCTACTAAAAACACAAAATTAGGCTGAGTGTGGTAGCTCATGCCTATAATCCCAGCACTTTGGGAAGCTGAGGCAGGGGTGGATCATGAGATCAGGAGTTCGAGACCAGCCTGGCCAACAGGGTGAAACCCTGTCTCTACTCAAAATACAAAAATTAGCAGGGCATGGTGGCGGGCACCTGTAACACCAGCTACTTGGGAGGCTGAGGCAAGCGAATCGCTTGAACCTGGGAGGAGGAGGTTGGTTGCAGTGAGCCGAGATCACGCCACTGCACTCCAGCCTGGGTGACAGAGCGAGACTCCGTTTCAAAAAAAAAAAAAAAAACCACATAAAAATTAGAATTAGCTGGGCATGGTGGTGCACGCCTGTAGTCCCAGATATTCAGGAGGCTGAGGAAGGAAAATCATTTGAACCCGGGAGGTGGAGGTTGCAGTGAGCCAAGATTGCACCACTACACTCCAGCCTGGGTGACAGCAAGACTCCACCTCAAAAAAAAAAAAAAAAGTATGTGTACATTTTGTTAATGTATACATCATGTGTTAATGTGTACATTCCTAACATCTCAAAATATTTTAAAAACTGTAAAGAAAAATAAATTCTACTAAAGTCATATCAACAGAGATACATCACAACAGGAAGAAAGTATGTTCTATCTGGGGTACCACAAGATACTTACAGCTGATAAGGCCAAAATTTGTTGTTGAATTGTTTCTTCATCGTTAGTGTCAACCCATGGGGGCACAGCTGCTTCTATACAGTTTTTAATGGCAAAGAAAAGAGAAAAAAATAGGTCACAGTGGTTACACTGCAGTCTATGGTTTCAAAGCATGAAAGTTTCTGCATGACCACTAAAAATAGCAATTTACCAATAAGTTCCAAATATGAACATTAACCCTAATAACCAGACTTCTTATTATGAGTTGTATGCACATATGCATTTGATTAAAAAAATTCTACTTGAGGCTGGGCGTGGTGGCTTACACCTATAATCCTAGCACTTTGGGAGGCCAAGGTGGGTAGATTGCTTGAGCCCAAGAGTTGGAGACCAGCTTGGGCAACATGACGAAACCTTGTCTCTACAAAAAAATACAAAAGTTAACCAGATGTCGTGGTGCATGCCTGTAGTCCTGGCTACTTGGGAGGCTGAGGTGGAAGGATCACCTGAATCCAGGAGTCGAGGCTGTAGTAAGCTGTGATTGCGCCATTGCATTTCAGCCTGGGTGACAGAGTTGCGACCCTGTCTCAGAAAAAAACCAAAAACCAAAAAACTCTACTTAAATTATACAGTGGAGACACTGGACAACACCTTAATCAGGTGATCAAAATCAACATCACCAATGAGGGAGAGATGAATATCAAGGCCCTCCAGATGCGACATCTTGAGGAGGACATCATCACCTATGTAGTATTCTGGCTAAAAATGGACAATCTGAGTCTAGTTATGAGGAAATATCAGATAAAGCCTGAATGAGGAAGAATCTATTAAAAAAAAGGAAGAGCAGTATTCTTCAAAAACATTAATATCATAAAAGACAAAGAAAGGTTGTTGGAATGTTCCTGATTAAAGAAGGCTAAGAGACATGACAAAGAATACAATACCTTATCCTCAACTGGATCCTATACTGAGGGGGACAGAAGTCATAAAGGACATTATTGGGTCAACTAACAAAATTAACTGATGAACAGTAAAGTATTGCATCAATGTGAAATTTCCTAATGCTGTTAACTATACTATGGTTATGAAAGAGAATATCCCTAATTCTTATGAAATGTGTACTGAACATTTATGTACACACAAGGAAAAAAGGGTACACATGACAGCAAGAGCTGGAGAGAGGGCGTGAATAAGACAAACAATAAAACTAGAGCAATTTAGGTACTGGTATATGGGTGTTGTCTGCACTATTTTTATTCTTGCGAGTCTTCTGTAAATTAAAATTTTTTCCAAATAGAAAAATTTTTAGAAAGTTACTTAAAAAAAATGAAAGAAAAATGGGTAAGTATATTCACTGTACTTGATTCATGATAAAAGGTGATGTTGTAAGACAGGTGATTAGGAATAAGAGGGTTTTCAGGAGCTTTAAAAAAAAAAAAGAAAGAAAGAAATGGACAAGTTGGAGGCAGTAAACAATAGGGCTGGAATCAAATCCTCAATGAGCCATTAGAAGCCAAATGCTGGGAATGCCAAGATCTAGCCCACCTCTTCTGGGGCTCACAGATAGAGGTGATCAGAATCCAGCACTGTAAGTGCCGTGCCAGGTGACAAATGACAATCCTCTGGAGAGGTGAGACCTACAAGATTTTCTGGTGACCCAGGAGCCCAATCTTGGACTAGGAAGAGGAGGTCAGTGGTGGATGGCGGTGGGGGTGTTTATAGTGGAAACGAAAACAACGGCAAGCTCGTCTGAGGATCTCTCCCACGTTGGCAGCATGGAGCAGCTAGAGGGCAGAGTGAAGGCTGCAGATCTGCGAGATCGGCACAGAAGACACACAGGCAGGGGGCCCTTAATAGCCTCATTCAGCAGCCCACAGCGGCAAGATTACGAAGGGAAGCAGAAGTCACAAAAATGTGGACTAATTCATGAGCCACTCAATCACTCCTGCTGCCTTAACACTAGATTCTAGCCCTATTGGTCTTGCAACACAAAGTGAAAAGGCAAATCTTGCAAAACGCATGGTGCTTCACGAAGTCAAAGTAAAGTGACATGGGATAGCTGCCTGTATCACCACAAAGCAAATAAGGAGGACTTGGCAGTTAGGGCCCCTATGCCTGAAGGAAACACAAGGCTGGTGACCCAGCAAGTACTTTAAAAGAGAATGATTTTTGATCCCAGCTACTCGGGAGGCTGAGGCAGGAGAACTGCTTGAACCCGGGGGGCAGAGGTTGCACTGAGCTGAGAAGGTGCCACTGCATTCCAGCCTGGGGAACAGAGAGACTCCATTTCAAAAAAAAAAAAAAAAAAGAGAGAATGAGTTGAAAACCAAAGGGGCAATTGAGGCAGGCCCTTGGAGAGCAAATGCCTTGCTGTCCTGGAATATTTCGGCAGACAGAGTCCCTTTACTATTATGCTCTGAGTCAGAGGGAAGACATATCATATCACGAGCCCACTGAGAGAAAAGTTACATGCATGTGTGGATGGACACGGGGACGGATGGGCAGATGAGCACACGCTTCATTCTTTGGCTTGTCCCAAGTCAGCAAATGGTGGCAATTATAATCCAAATGCTATTAATGATAAGATAATCTAAACATCTTTGCACACTTTAAAGAAAAAATTAGGGTAAAGCCCCCAAAACATTTTTTCTCGCACACTTGAGTCTCCATTCCAAGTCTCTTTACCTTGGGTAGTCTCTCCTAGTGTTATTTATGCTCAGATAATGAGGCCCTCCTAAGATACTTGTATGAGGAGATGCTCCCTACCCCGAGTTCCTGAAATTACTCTTTTTAGAGTGACCAAAACCTCTTGGTTCCCCAACCCCAACGACGCTTCTTAGTTCCCTTCTCTCTAGGCCAGTTTCCTTATCTGGAAAATGGAGGTAACAGTAAGTACTTCATAGAGTTACTGTGATTATGAAGTGAAGAAATGCATGAAACACATTTCCAAGGTGCCCTTCTCATGGTCATTGTAAGTGGACCTCTTGGCCCTGCCTCCCATGGCTGACTGCTCTCCTGGAAACTCTCCCCTCTCTGGGCTTCTGCTACTTCTCTCTCCCAGTTGTCCACTCTCTTGGGTAAATGGGCACTGTTTTTATTTTCTTTTTTGAGATGGAGTCTTGCTCTGTTGCCCAGGCTGGAGTGCAGTGGTATGATCTTGGCTCACTGAAACCTCTGCCTCCCGGGTTCAAGTGATTCTCCTGCCTCAGCCTCCTGAGGAGCTGGGATTACAGGCACATGCCACTAGGCCCGGTTAATTTTTGTTTTTGGTTTTGAAGGCAAATTTCAGTTTCATCACTTACCAGCTGAGCGACCTTCCGCAAATAACTTACCCTTGCTGACTGCATCTTTGTTATTTATTTATTGAGACAGAGTCTCGCTCTATCACCCAGGCTGGAGTGTAGTGGCACAATCTCGGCTCACTGCAACCTCTGCCTCCCAGGTTCAAGCAAATCTTGTGCCTCAGCCACCCAGACCCAAACAGCTGGGATTATGGGTGTGTGCCACCACGTCTGGCTAATTTTTGTATTTTTAGTAGAGATGTGGTTTCGCCACGTTGGCCAGGCTGCTCTCGAACTCCTGGCCTCAAGTGATCTGCCCACCTCAGCCTCCCAAAGTGCTGGAATTACAGGCATGAAGCTACCAAAGTGCTGGAATTACAGGCATGAAGCTACCACACCTGGCCCTGACTGCATCTTGAAATGAGATGTTATACATAAAATGCCTGCTGCTCAGCAGGCACTCAGTGACTGTCAATTCCTTCCCCTCCTCCCCTCCCTAAACACTGTGGAGCTTCTGCTCATCTCCCTTCATGCTTGACACACTTTCCACAGAGGAGCTCATCTACTCTCATGGTTTTTATGTGACTTGATAATAATCTGAATCATTAGACTGAATTCTCCTTTATGCTTCAAACAGGAATAAACTGCTGCAGGAGCCTGCTTATTTAATTCAGAGCCACACTGAGCAAAAGAACTTTCTGCAATGACAAAAATGTTCTATATCTGCATTGTCCAGTGCGGAAGTCATTAGCCATATGTAGTTATTGAGGACCTGAAACGTGGCTGATGCAACAAAAGGAAATTTTCCCCAGATAAAGCACTTGCATTCCCTTTCCTGTCTTTCTACATGTTCCTATCTCTGGGATGTATAACTCACTTTAAAACTGAAGTTGACTGCAAACCTTCCACCCCCACGCCCTCACAGTTCCTATCTCAGAGGCATCAGCTCCTATAGCAAGTCCCCAAGCCAGGATCACTTTTGTTGCTTCCAAATAATCACTAAGTGATGCTAACTTGTATACCTCACTTGTCTAAAAGAGTTGCCTCATGCTTTTGAGTTTACCTAGGTGCAAGAATGCCTGATGGAAATTCACCATGGGACTAACTGTGGCACAACTCGAACTGAATTGTTTTCTACTACTATTTTTTTGAGACAGGGTCTCACTCTGTAGTCCAGGCTGGAGTACAGTGGCATGATTATAGCTCACTGCAGCCTCAAACTCCCAAGCTCAAACGATCCTCCTGCCTCAACCTCCCAAGTAGCTGGGACTACAGGTGTGCACCACCACATCCATCCGGCTAATTTCTTATTTTTTGTAGAGATAGGGTCTCACTATGTTGCCCAGGCTGATCACGAACTTCAGGCTCAAGCGATCCTCCCGCCTTGGCCTGCCAAAGTGTTGGGATTACAGTTATACTACTTTTGCGAACTCAAAAGACACGATGCTGGTTTTGTGTTTGGGTGCTACCAAATGGTAAGAGTAGGCATACTGAGGCCTTATAACTTCAAACATATAAAGAGGCAACTCTCAGCAGTAATGTATTGAGTATGTTCTCCAAACACCTGTGACTCTTTACGGCCCTCTGTCACTGCAGGTGCAGTCACTCGCCTCCCTGGGAAGCTCTTCCATTTTTTCTCCTGAAGAGAGCGGGAAGGGAGCCACCACTTGCTAAATGCCTGTCATGTGCATACCGAGCACTGTGCTGGGCATGTGGTAGAAAGTCAGAACTGAGGCCAGGCACGGTGGCTCATGCCTATAATCCCAGTACTTTGGAAGGCTGAGGCAGGCGGATCACGAGGTCAGGAGTTTGAGACCAGTCTGGCCAACATGGCAAAACCCTGTTTCTACTAAAAATACAAAAAAAATAGCTGGGCGTGGTGGCAGGCGCCTGTAATCCCAGCTACTCGGAAGGCTGAGGCAGGAGAATTGCTTGAACCCGGGAGACAGAGGTTGCAGTGAGCCGAGATCAAGCCATTGCACTCCAGCCTGGGTGATAGAGCAAGACTCCGTCTCAATGGGGGGAAAAAAAAGAGAAAATCAGGCCGGGCGCGATGGCTCACGCCTGTAATCCCAGCACTTTAGGAGGCCGAGGCGGGCGGATCACAAGGTCAGGAGATCGAGACCATCCTGGCTAACACGGTGAAACCCCGTCTCTACTAAAAATACAAAAAATTAGCCGGGTGTGGTGGCGGGCGCCTGTAGTCCCAGCTACTCGGGAGGTTGAGGCAGGAGAATGGCGTGAACCTGGGAGGCGGAGCTTGCAGTGAGCCGAGATCGCTCCACTGCACTCCAGCCTGGGTGACAGAGCGAGACTCCGTCTCAAAAAAAAAAAAAAAAAATCAGAACTGAAAGCTTACTTGCCCCTTTCACAGCCAGCTCCCCAGTGGGGCTGGCACTGGCAGCCCCCACCCAGAAACAATCTAGTCCCTTCCTTTAAATCATGGAAGTTTATAGGTTTGTCTCCTTCACTAGTCTTTGTGCTCCCCAAAGGATGGGGCCGTTGCATATACATTTTTGTGTTCTCAGAGCCTCAGTGTGGTATCTAGCACATAACAGGTGCTCAATAAAACTTGGCAGGTTAATTAAGACAAACCTATACCATACCTGACTTCTTTGTATGTTGCTCTTCAACAAATTTTTTCTGTTCCTTCTGAAAATCTCCTATAATTGTCTGTTAAAAAAATACACAGTCAAATTAAATAGCAATATATCTAAGGTTGAATTGATGACTTCCTTAGTTCAAATATTTACCAACATAAACGAAAAGCTATAGGCCCATTGCAAAAAACAAACTCACTCCTTAGAGTCTTAAAAGGGTTGTTCCTAATAGGTTAGGACCTTAGTCGCATGATGCAAAGGCATAAATATATCCTCAAACAGTTATAAAGTTAAACTTACAACATGAAAAGTCGGCCAGGCGTGGTGGTTCATGCCTGTAATCCCAGCACTTTGGGAGGGCGAGGCAGGTGGATCACTTGAGGCCAGGAGTTCGAGACCAGTTTTGGCCAACACGGTGAAACCTCATCTCTACTAAAAATACAAAAATTAGCTGGGTATGGTAGCGCATGCCTGTAATCCCAGCTACTTGGGAGGCTGAGGCAGGAGAGCTGCATGAACCCAGGAGGCAGAAGTTGCAGTGAGATGAGATCACACCACTGCACTCCAGCCTGGGTGACAGAGCGAGACTCCATCTCAAAACAAACAAACAAACAAAAAACATGAAAAGTTTAGTATAACCCCCAAGTATCAATGTATTGATTGTAATATATTAAAATAAAAACAGCTATTTAAACCAAGTACTGTAATTTGAATGATACTTGTTACACAAAGAGAGGAAAAAACCAAAAATCTCAAAAATTAACATTTTTATCAGAATATGATATTCTACTTAGGTTAGAAAATGTTCATAAGAAGAAGAAACAATCAAGAGGAAACAATGAATTTCATACATTTCTACTTCCAAAAGATAATTGAATGTACCTTGTCAATGATGCCATCTATTTTTCCTTCTTCTACGGATTTCTTTATTGTTTGTGCTGTTTCAGCAACTGATTCAGTTATCTTTTTTGTGGCAGCAGATGCAAAGTTAAATAAATAGTCTGTAAAGAATAAAAAGAATCTGTGGTTATTATGTTTGAGATTTTTCCCTTAAAGAGATCTTAGGAGAATCTAAAGCATTAGGGCATGTTCCTTTCTCATAAGGACTTGAAACAAGGAATGAGAAGCACTGACAGTGTTGAAAAGCACCACTTTCTTGGAGGACTGGTCAACCATACGGGGCCTTTCATTCATCTCTTTTTGTTTGTTTGTCTTTTTTTTGAGACAGTCTCGCCCTGTCACCCAGGCTAGAGTGCAGTGGCGTGATCTTAGCTCACTGCAACCTCTGCCTCCCAGGTTCAAGCGATTCTCCTGCCTCAGTCTCTCGAGTACCTGGGACTATAGGCACCTGCCACCACGCCCGGCTAATTTTTTTGGTATTTTTAGTAGAGACAGGGTTTCCTCATGTTGGTCAGGCTGATCTCGAACTCCTGGCCTCGAATGATCTGCCTGCCTCAGCCTCCCAAAGTGCTGGGATTACAGGCATGAGCCACCGCGCCCCCGGCCTCATTCATCTCTTTCAAAGACCCTTAGCATACTCTTCCTAGTAGCTGCTTCAAACTTATCTTGCTCTTCTCAAGTCTCTGGTTCTAATTTATCTCAGTAAATAATCTACCCTCCTACTTTGCCAGTAAGAACAAGGCTCCTTTATACTTTCCTTCCTTTCTAGATCTCATGTATGCCATCTTTATTTTCTCCTCCTTCCCTCCTGTTCAAAGAAAAAATGCCCCTCCTTTCTCAAATTAACATGTCCCAAGATAAATCTGGGGGAATTTTAAATAATAAATAGAAATCTTTTTTCTCTTACAAGCCCGGCTGGGCGCGGTGGCTCAAGCCTGTAATCCCAGCACTTTGGGAGGCCGAGACGGGCAGATCATGAGGTCAGGAGATCGAGACCATCTTGGCTAACACGGTGAAACCCCGTCTCTACTAAAAAATACAAAAAACTAGCCGGGTGAGGTGGCGGGTGCCTGTAGTCCCAGCTACTCAGGAGGCTGAGGCAGGAGAATGGCGTAAACCCGGGAGGCGGAGCTTGCAGTGAGCTGAGATCCGGCCACTGCACTCCAGCCTGGCGACAGAGCAAGACTCCGTCTCAAAAAAAAAAAAAAGAAAAGAAATCTTCCTAAGCCCTAGTAGAAACAGAAATCTTTTTTTTTTTTTTTTTTTTTTGAGATGAAGTCTCACTCTGTCACCCAGGCTGGAGTGCAGTGGCGTGATCTCAGATCTCAGTTCACTGCAACCTCCACCTCCCAGGTTTAAGTGGAAGTGGGTAGCTGGGATTACAGGCGCCCGCCACCACACAAGGCTAATTTTTGTATTTTTAGTAGAGATGGGGTTTCACCATGTTGGCCGGGCTGGTCTCAAACTCCTGACCTCAGGTGATCCGCCTGCCTTGGCCTCCCAAAGTGCTGGGATTACAGGTGTGAGCCACCGAGCCTGGACTAGAAATCATTCTTACTAATAACGAGCAAATATGTAGAACAAGATTAAAAGTGGAACCCAAAAAACTTCCAGTTTTTACAAAACAAAACCACAGAATTAGCTTTCTGGAAGACCTGAAAAGATATAAGTGTCAAGGTTCTACTGCACTATCAGGGTTCATTTGTAGACATATATCATTTCAAAGTCCACATCCTACAGAATCCAGGCTGCCGAAAGAGACTTGAGGCAGGTCTTGAAGCTAGACCTGCTGAGGGATACCCCCAGGCAACTGACGTCCTCCTCTCATGAGAAATAGCTGGCACATTAGGGCAGTCTTGCCTCTTACTTACACCTGTTGAAGGGGCAGGCAGGTGGAGAAGGTCCCATACGAATGGCGAAGGGAGCTCTGCCCACCAGATTCCATCCTCATTCTGTGGGTGGTATTACTTTCAGGAAACCAGCAGACTGTATAAGTGTGCCTGGGAGCCAGTAATATTATCACTCCATCTGAATGATCCTTTCACCAGCTTCCCATTTAACAGTCTACTTCCTCCCACTGTGTCTGGTACTGTTTATCTGTCAACCCCAACGTAACACCCCTAGGAAATACCACAGGAAGCTACTTGCTACTTATCTCTGCTCTAGTTCTCATCTTTCTCCTTCTTCCTAGTCTATAGTCATATGATCACATGGAAATTCTTTACTACCTCCAAGGAGGCCTCCTTGGTTTGAAACGTTTTTGTCTGCCCTGTCTTTATCTGGCTAACTCTCCATATGCTGTGGGTCGCCACTTAAATATCACTTCTCCTTAGGAAATATTCCCTTGACTAGGATGGATGTCCTGAGATGTGTTCCCTCCATATATCCCTGAAGACTGTTGCCTGATCAACAATCTTCAAAACACTCTACCGATTACTTGGTGAATGTCTTCTCAGCCAGACTGAAAGCCCATGCTGAGCCCCATGAGTGCAGGGACCCAGGCTGTCTGATTCCCCACTGTATCCCCAGTGGATGACCAGTGACCAGTATGTACTTGTTGAATGGATGAATGAGGAGTGATAGAACAAATGCTGAGCTTGAGTGAAATCACTCGTTTCTCTTTAGTTATGACTACTCTACTTGTACAGAGTGGTATGATAAAATGGGTAGACAGCCATACTAGTTTGTAAAACTGTTGTGGGCCAGGTCTCACTAACGCAGGCCTTCATCACAACTGTTTCAGTACTGACTGAGTGGTTCAGTTAAATATTAAAAGCCAGTGACCTTATACAAAGGCTGGAATGTAACAAAAGCTCACCAAGAGTTTTGCCTAGGCCTTTCCTGAACCTTAAAGCATGACTAAATTATTTCACTACTGAAAATATATGAAAGAGTTCTAATTAGTTGGCTCACAGAAAAATAAAAGTGTTTAAATACTTTAACAGAAAAAAGGAAAGACTAGTCAAATGCTTTTTCAAGTTTATGTGACTTAAGTAAAATCTTCGATAAATAAGCTAGCTTTAAACATTATTGGTAAAGTAATATTAGAAATGTCTTCAGAGTTGCCAGCATATGTTTTTGCTTGCATTTGTTGATCAAGCAATTTCATACTTATCTTTGCCAAATACTATAATGTGTCAAAATTTGGCATAGAGGCTACAAAACGGTAACTCAGTCCAAAACAGAGTGATCTTTGCTTGTGTAATTTCTTTTTCTTTCTTATTTTTTTGACACGGAGTTTCGCTCTTGTCACCCAGGCTGGAGTGCAATGGCACAATCTCAGCTCACTGCAACCTCCGCCTCCTGAGTTCAAGTGATTTTCCTGCCTCAGCCTCCTGAGTAGCTGGGATTACAGGTGTCCGCCACCATGCCCAGCTAATTTTTGTATATTTGGTGGAGACAGGGTTTCACCATGTTGGCCAGGCTAGTCTTGAACTCCTGACCTCAGATGTTCTGCTCACCTCAGCCTCCCAAAGTGCTAGGATTACAGGTGTGAGTCACCGTGCCTGGCTGCTTGCGTAATTTTTAATAAATAAAACATTGATATTGGTTTAATGAAGATAGCTACATCTTGAATTATTTAGTAAAATACCCTAACTTCTGATCTTGTGGCCTTAGGCAGTCTAGTTCACAGACATAAAGGAAGTTTGTTCTGGGAAAGGACGGTTATCATCTTTGTTTCAAAGCTAAACTAAAAACTAAGTTAATGAATGAGAATAGCTTAGAGGTTAGAAGCATGATGGAGTCAGTTACAGCAGATCACTTTCACTGTCTCAGTTGTAATTTTGCAATGGTGGTCTCATAACTTTCAATGATGACTACTGCAGTTTTTATAAATAATCTAGGTAAATGATTAAATAATTAGATAAATGTAATGGGATAAATACTTGTAAACAAATATCATAATTTTGAATCTAAAGTAATATTAAATTAAACAACAAATATTTCATTATTTGGGTATTTTCCAATAAAAATAGATTATAGGAAAACATTCTTTCTAAACAGTGTGTCCTTTTTAAAGGGTAACTAATTTTTGTCTAACTCAAAGCTTATTTAAAGGTTATATAAAAAACATGGTAAAAGAAACAAGGAAATAAGAGATATATAAATAAAGTAATAAAAATAAAGAGAATTTAAAATATTACTGGTAAAATATCTTCAAAGCATAAACATTTGGTCTAAATTATGCAGGTCAAATATTAGGTTTGCTAAACACTTTGCGTCATAAATTCCTTCTTCAATTTAAACATTGTTCGATTTATTGTGGAGCATTAGATTCTAGATAAGGCCTGGAGACATGTGAAATTAGCCATGCCCCCTAGCTATGCAAAAAGGTATTAAAGAAAAGAGATTTTATATAAGAAAGGATCTGTATGGCAAATTCTTGTACTAAAGTAACTGGATGTTAAAAAAGAGGGATGTTTAGGACAAATCAGAAAGTCAAAGCATGTCATAGCTTGTCTGTGTAAGTCGTGAAAGAATTTATGAAAGGGAATTTATGCAACAAATATCATATAATTTAAAGGTGATTAGGTCTCCTAAATGCTTTATAAAATGCCACTATGACTCCTAGCTGTACAAATTGCCTGCTTTACAGCTAGGTAAGGCCTGGGACACATGGAGTTAGATGCTGGAATAAGTCAGACCTTATCTGCACTTCTGTCTAGGTCTTAAGGCTCCACACCTAGTACATAAAATCCCAAACTTATCAAACTTTTCACCAAAAGTAAAGGCTGCTAAGAGTTAACAGTGTAACATGCATTTAAGACTACTGAAGAAATAGGTTTTTTTGTTTGTTTGCTTTTGTTTTTTTTTTCTTTTTTTGAGATGGAGTTTCGCTCTTTCACCCAGGCTGGAGTGCAATGGTGTGATCTTGGCTCACGGCAACCTCTGCCTTCCGGTTTCAAGCAATTCTCCTGCCTCAGCCTCCTGAGTAACTGGGATTATAGGTGCCCGCCACCACGCCCGGTTAATTTTTGTATTTTTAGTAGAGACGGGGTTTTACCATGTTGGCCAGGCTGGTCTTGAACTCCTGACCTCGTGATCTGCCCACCTTGGCCTTCCAAAGTGCTGGGATTACAGGTGTGAGCCACTGTGCCCG